TATATGAACATGTGGACTCCATTTAAATTCAAAACTCAAAAATGAGAACAGCCAGGATAGAATATGGAGTATGGGAGTATGTGATTTTTTTTTTCTTACACTTTAATATTGTCTCTGTCTGCATGAGCTTCTGTAGGAAGATATCAGAGACCAGGTGGTTTATACAGATTAAAAATTAATTTTTCACCATTCCAGATGCTAAGAAGTCTAAATGTACAGTGCTGATTGATTCAGTGTCTGGTGAGGTCTTTCTTACTAACAGATGTGCATCATTTTGCTGTACCCTACCTTGTAGAAAGGTTGCCAGAGATCTCTGGAGTTCTCTAAAAAAAGACACTGATCTCATTCATGAAAGCTCTACTTTCATGACCTAGTCACCTTTGTAAGACTGGGTCAACAACTACTGTCACATTAGGGATGAGGTTCTAACATATTACATTTTTTCTACACTAAAATAAATTAACTTAAAAATATCAAAAACAGTCACATGTTCCAGTGCAATTTTGCCTCACTCTGACTGTCCCCAGGCAATTTTGTCATTTTTGGCAATTTTATCAATAGGCTTCAGGAGGAAAGGTTTCATTATTTAGCCCACCAAGCCAGAGAAATTGTGACTCATACCTCAGGAAGCTAGCTGCTTCTGTGATATTGCAATCCATCAACATTTTTTCTGGAGACTCCCACATCTATACACCTTCAGAGAGAATTGTGAGAGAACATTGACAAGGGGATTTGTCCTGGGAGCTCTGCTCTGCTTTTTGACAGCTTTAATTGGCATCTGAGAAACAGCAGGATCTAGGAAGAGACTCAGAAATCTGCAGCAGCAGAATTGTATTCAGGTGTGTGCAAGAGTAAATCTTACTAGAGTGGCTTGTGTGCTCCCAAGTATTTTTATTTTCTTTACTTAACAAGAATTCTGAAAAATAGCTAGTCCACTGTCTTTGGCGGATCACTGAGAAGATTAGAAACACAAGATTTTTCTAGCCTTATTGTCTCTGTGTGGCTAGTGTGTTCCTATCTCCAAAAAAGCTGCCGTCCACCTGGCTGACACTGACAAAGGATCCACAAACTGCTGTACAGGGTTTTAGGGTAAATCCTGAGGGGATCTGACTGATTTTGTCAGATACAGAAGTTGCATTTCTTGTTTTATAGGTCTTGCTTTATCTTGGTCTTAACCATCCTGCAGAAAAGTATAAAAATGAGGTATAAAAAGTAAAGCCTTATTAATATGCTGAGCTTTAAAAGGCTCAAGTCAATAACTTCAGACATTGCTAGTCCTGGATAACCCACTACTACTATATACTACTGGATTATATTGAATTATTTTGCTGAATTCATGTACCTACAATATTTGGATGGCAATGGAATACCCATATCTAACAAAACTAAACAAAAAAAGGAGATATAGATGAAGGACAATTTTGTATCTGTATATACAAAATAGGATAGATATACAGCTACTTTCTCTTAATTCAATGAGAAGAAAGATTTGTACTATCAGTGTTTGGACAGGATAGCATGTCTCCATCTTGTACTATGAATACTACAAAGACAACAATGTGCAATGTATTAATTATTATAACTTTCCTACTAACCTGTTTTGAAACTGTCTCATTGCTATTTGTTTCTTAATAAAATTAATTTTAAAAAGCTGCTGTCTGTTCTTTTTGGCAGAATGGTAAGATTCCTGCAGATTTTTTTTTTACTTATGTTGCTTTGGCCAGAATTATGTCATAGACCTACACTGAGCTCCAGTGAATGAAGGAACCTTGTTTTTAAGTCTCTGTTTTAGATTCTGCATTTCTTTATCTGAAAAGGGAAATGCAGTGAATTCCTCATGTAGCTCTTAGGAGAATCTCATTCCCTAGCACCTGGAATGCAGAATGTGCACATATATTAGATGGTGCTGAGACTCCAGGGAACTGCAGGCGCAGTTGAATTCAAATGAGATACTCATACATTCCCAATCTTGTAGAACAATAGTATATATGCATTAAAGCAATATATATCTTTTCTAAAATAAAATTTTAGTTTTTAAAAATCAATACACATCTATAGTTGAGAGACAAATATTTCTATAAGACATAATGAAACAAATCATTCTTTATCTTCCACAATGCCAGTTCTCAGCATTCATTTCTTCAAATCAATCATTATGAAATATTATGAAAAGAGCATATCTTCTGAAAATTATCTCCTGATTTCTAAGAATACATTTCTATTGATGCCTACTGATATTAGTTTAAGATATCTATTAATATTTCAATATTATATTTATGGAAAAACTACTGTTCCTACTTACTATATTTATCAAAAAATTACTATAAAATAAGGAAATACTTGCTGTCTTACCCTCTACCTCTTAGCATATATATGTTCATTATATATTATTATACTAATCACCATTTGATTAAACCATTATTCACTGTTAAACTTATCATTCAGGGCTGAGTCATATAATTCTTGTGGTGATTAAACTTTGTTTTAATACAAGTTAACACTTTACCCATTTTTTCTGAGTTTCGATATACCTATCAATAATTCATATCATACTTTACACTGTAGGTGTGAATCTTCTATGCCTAGGTTAAATAAAACCCAATTAGCTGGATTAGTGATATCTTTTCCTTCTGTCATCTTGATTGAATCTGCGATGCTTCCTATTATTCATCTATGAAAATTTTCTCTTCTTATCTTCACCATAAATTATTATTTCAGGTACAAATATAAATCTAGTGTGCACCTTGCTCTAGAATAATTTGGAAGCATCACTCCAAAGACTTCCAGAGAGAGCATGTAGGCTACTCACCTCACCAGGTTCCTGGCAGAGCTAACTTCCTGCCAGAGTTAGCTGAGTCTGGCCACCAATCCTCACCCTAATATGGCCAGGGAGACTCAGCAGCCCTAGCCCTCCCTCCTGTAGTCCAGCTGTGCCTTCTACGTGAAGGCTGTCAAGGAGACATGTCTCTTACAGTGAACTACAGGAACATTATGGAGCAATGCCCTGCACCAATCCACCATTAAGAAAGCCTTGCACAACTTTCACCTGCACACACTCATCATTATCAGATGCTTCTTGAACTGTGCCTTGCTCCCTCTCCTTACTGAGGTGGTAATCACATTGAACCCCACAAAGCAGGAGCTTTGGTGAGCCTACTCTGCACTCTCACTCTCCTGAGAGCCTTGCTGACCTGAACCCCACCCATTACCATTACTGCAAAAAATGACAAAAGTAAGGAACAAAAGGCAATCTCAGACTTCTACTCCACCTGAAACAAATTCAGAAGACAAGCTCATAGAAGGACTTGGAAGTCACACATCTGAAATGTCTGAGATGATAGCAACTGAAGTAAAGAAACAACTCCGTTGGGCTATGGAAGAAATTAGATCATAAATAATCTATCATGTAAAAAAATGACAACAATCATGAAAGAATTGCTTGATACATTTAAGGAAGATACAAATAAAAAAATAGAAGAAATAGGAAAATGATGGAAACACTCAATGAACAATCCGAGAAAGACTTAGAATGCATGAAACAGATTCAAATAGATATCCAGGACATTAATAATTCCATTTGAAAGCTGTCAAAACTGCTTGAATGAAACAGAAGATAAAATTTCAGACCTTAAAGATAGCATTGCAGCTAATGAACATGAAAGGAAACATTTCTCAAAAATAATGAGAAACCAGGAAATAATAAGACAACAGCTGCAAGATGACACAAAGAAGAATAACATAAGACTGATAGATATTAACAAAACAGTTGGAGATAATACAAGAGACATAAAAAGCGTGTTTGCAGAAAGAGTAGCAGAAAACTTCCCACACATGGGCAAAGAATCTTATATACAGATAACGGAAGTATATAGAATTCCAGCTAGCCATAATCAAAATAAATCATCACCCAGACACATAATACTCAAGATCCCAGGGCCAGGGAGATAGATCAGTAGAATAACAGAACTAGCACCTCTCCCACCCCGCCCACCGAGTAGGAATTTCTGCCGCGTTCCAGGAAACCCCAGACCCAGTCCTAGCCCAGGTCCGGTGAGTGTGTGGGAGATTTTCCGGCTACCCTGTGCCGGCAGGACCAACTCCAGGTCCCAGCCCAGGCGCAGCGTGGGTCCGACAATCTTCCACCCCTATGGGACGCCCCCACCACTCCGCAGCATCTCCATTACCCTGCCCACCAAGTAAGAATTTCTACCGCATGCTGGGAACACCCAGACCCAGTCCGAGCCCAGACGCAGTGAGTGTTTGGGAGAGCTACCTCTACCCCTACTCCACCTTGTCCTCTACAGGCTCAGCTCAGGCCTGGCATACAGGCCTGGGGTGTAACCTTGCAGCTGCAATCTCTGCAGAGTGTAGAGGATAGAAACACTCAGCTAGTCCAGGAGCAGAAAATCTTGCCACAGGGGCACAACACGTTCACCCTCAAGGGCAGCAGCAGGAAGGAGCTGAGAAGAGCAGCCAGACTCAAGCCAGGGACAGCTGGATAAATCCAGACTTTGTAGATCTGCACCTGAACTTCAGTACATACTAAGGTTATAACTACAACGATGATCTACAACAAAGGCCAGAAGACAGTGCTACTCAAAATGACGAGAAGGAACAAAATGCAACCTCAGAACTCAATACCACCTGTAAAAAGTGAAGAGGACACTAACACAGAAAAAACTGGAAATCACACAGCTGAAAGCAATGAATCAAAGGCTTCTGAAATAAAGAAACAGCTGCAGAAAGGTATAGAGGAAATCAGACTGGACATAAAAAAGAAATCCCTGAATTAATAAGATCTGCAGTAAATAATCAAATGCAGAAACATATGGAGGAAACCCAGTACCCACCCAGAACAAGTACAGAGGACACTAGTTCGGCTCAAATGCA